TATTATATTATATTATATTATATTGCACTGATCACTGGTTAACCCAGGGTGCCACAAAAGACAAGCAAATTCAACAACAGAGCGAATTAATCTTGATACAACTGCGCAAGAACTGATGAGGACGGTTTAGCCCTTTTTTTTAAAGTTTGCAAAGATAATGGAACCGTGTACATATGTACTCAGCATGTTCATACCTTTAAAGGTTGTTAGTAACCAGTAAGCCCAAATATTTGAAATTATATTCATGTACTTTGCAGGCACGCAACAACAGTATAAAATATAATGAAACGCTACCAAGTCCTTAAAGGGATTTTGAGAAGTCATCGTTTCTTTTTTTTTTAAATAGGCGATGATAACTTTGATACACATACCATTACGAGCCCAGACGATATTTTCTGTGTGCCTTTCAAACTGTTGACAGAAACACGCGACAACATCATAAAATGTCATGAAACACTTACTTAAAGATCACACAGGTATTTTGAGAAGTCATCGTTTCATTTTTTTCTTTTTTTTCAGATAGGGGATTATTACTATGAAACACTAACCATTACCAGCCCAGACGACAATTTCGATGTGCCTTATTCAAACTGTTCACACAAACACTCTTGTAGAGAGTGCCCAACCCTGGGGCCCAAGAAAACAAGAATAATGATATCGGACAAACAGACAATAAAGGAGACTTCGAAAATGTATGTGGTTGCCGTTATGGACGTGCATCAACGTGGTCGAAACCAATTTGAATGCGGACCTCTCAATGTGCAAAGTTATTACCAGCTGTATGCTTTACAGATTGCGCTAAGGAAGGGAAATGCCGACAGCCTTGGATTGTTGGTAATAGATGCTTGCTCGCATAGCATTCGTGCAGTAAACGATATTTATAGTTTTCAAGGTGGCTGCGGCATCATCGGTGAGACAGCTCCGATCGATCTGAAAGTCAGACCCGAGATGACTATGGCCTACGTCATCATGGGACCAGACAACGTTGATGCTGCCAGGGCTTTTTTAACTTCGCAAGAAATCCCTATAGTTTTTCCCTCGGTTGCTCCTGCTGCCCCAAATAAATATGTGTTCAGCACCATGCCTTCTGATTTTAACAAAGCACAATTGCTTATTTCCATTTTACAATCATTAGAATGGACCCACGTTATGGTGGTCAGTTCTAGCAGTGATGGCAGTCAGGCGGCAACCACTGCCTTTTTCAACGCAGTCAAAAATAAGACCAATATTTGTATTGGGAAACAGATCATTATGGGAGAAAATGCCACTGAGGACGACGCGCGAGATTTTGTTAATAATCTTAACAGTACAAGTGATGCTCGGGTCGTGGTATATTTTACTGACGTTAAGCATACAGAGCTCCTTTGGTCTGGATCAGACTTATCTCAATTAGTGTGGATTGGCTTTTCCCATGGTGAAAACGAGGCAAAGGAAAACAGCGATCGCGTTTCAGGATCCATTACAATTTCACCACAAACATTAGACATGCGAGATATCTTAAATACCCTAGTGGGATCACGTCCAGATATCACAAATGATATACCCCCAGACTGGTTTGAAGAGTTTTGGCAATTAATAAATGGCTGCAAAAATTCAAGTAGCAAGTTTGTACAAAAACAATTCACTCGCGAATGTGGAGACAGTGAGCAGATTTCATCAAATGAAATACGCATGGACCCCTCTGTAAGCCACACCTTTTTAGCAGGCAGTATCTTGCGAGAGGCGGCTTTGACATCTGAATGTATTCCTGGAGACCGCAATTGCTTTACAAAGGCTCTTCATACAACTTCCGTGCAAGTACCTGATGCGACAACGAAGTTTTCCTTTAATAATACTTTAGGATTCGAAATCCGAAATTTCCAAAGCAAGACCAAAGTGCATGTGAAGGTAGGTACATATTGGAAGGAATAAATCGCAAAATCGGTATGTTAGCCTACATTTAAAAATCGATGATAGTATATATGAAGAGACCAACCCATAAAACAGCACAGTTGACAACTTTGAAACTGAGTTATAAGGTACTGAAAAGATTGGAAAATACGTGAAAAGATAGATCAACAGTAAGAGCTATGCCACTAACAAAATTGTCATGACAGTTAAGTAACTGATTAGTTTATTAATGGGCATGCCTTGGCGGAGATCTGCGCTCTCTGAGTGCTTTTTTTAGTTTTTTTTTCTGTTTTAGATTGGGTCATGGGATACAGGCGCGATGCACCTTAGCATTGACGTACGTAAATACCAAGGGCCAATTGCCAAAGGCGGATCGAACTGTACTTCGGACAACTGCCCTTGTTTAAAGAACCCAGTGGTCACTTTTAATCAGTCCGTTACCGTTGCAACTCCTTCACAAAATGAATACATTACAACCTTACCGGCGGTAGACTCCCGCTTCGTCAGTGCTATAGGAATCATTGTTTCAATGTTCATAGGAATCGGTGTCCTCCTGACATTGGTGCTCTTCGTGGTCTTCTGTAATGCTTATCCGAACTACAAAAACATCGGGACCACGTTACTTGGGTACTACGGACTGTTTGGAGTGTTAGTCATATTTCTTCACACTTTGGCCTTCATATATTATCCATCATCTACCGTGTGTGGCTTCAGGCGATTCTTACTGGGTTATTCTTATGCCATTTGTTTCTCAGCATTTCTTATCAAAGTTTTAGATATATGGAGAATCGGAAAGTATGGCGACGCAAAATACAAACGAGTGACAAGTCCCTGCAGCTTATTCTTTGTTGCAATTGGTTTGACACTTGTCCAAGGCATCATCGTGACCATGTGGCTGGTTCAAGATCCTCCGAAATCGGGAGAGATAATATATGACGGCGGTAGGTGGCACTGGTGTACCAGTACTGACTCTCACAACGTTGACCTAGTGATGTCGTGCATCTACGTCATGGCTCTAATACTCATGACCGCCATTTTTGGGGTTGCCACGTGGAAGCTTGAAGTAAACAACAGAGAATCGCGCTGGATTTGCATAGCAGCCTTCCTCACCATCGGATGTTGGGTAATATGGACCGTCGTTTCCACTCTGGCCGAGCACAAGTACAGAGACGGTGCGATCGCTATCTGCAACCTTGTGAATGGATATGTCATTCTGGCCACTGTCTACTTTAGAAAGCTGTGGTTGCTGGCCATGCACAAGAAGGAAAAGAGAGAACTGGCTGAAGAACACAGATCCGTGAGTATGAACGGAAGCTCCGAAGGTGAGATGTCAAAATGACATGAATATTATTGACATTAAAATAAA